GGGGGAGGGAATGGCATCACCCAGGAGGGACACATACCGCTCGCGCACGGCCAGACAAGAGAGCGACTTCTTTGCGGCCCCGCTGCCGAGGAACTTGGAGATATTGGCCCGGAGGAGGAACACCAGAAACACCAGGACCGCAATCGGCAGGACGACCCAGTTCCGGATCTCCGGGTCCAGGGCCAGGCGCCCGGCGTCGCCGGGAGCCGTATGCGACAGAACCAGCCCTGGCAGACCGGCGCCAGAGGAGCCGTCCAGGAGGCCGCTCAGCTGCGCGTGGAAGGACATGGGCGGCGTGCTGCGGCTGTCCACACACACACACAGGCAGACGGGACCGAGGGCCGAAGAGGCGGGAGGGGTGGGGGAAGAAAGCAGCGGGAAGCGGAGGAAGGCAGCAGCAGGGAGGGGGACAAGGGGCGACGTGTGTTGGGGGGGGGGGGGGGGGGGGGGGAGGGGGGGGGGGGGGGGGGGGGGGGGGGGGGGGGGCAGCAACCCTGGGGGGGGGGGGGGCAGCGGGCCGGGGCCCGAAATGAACAGGAAGGAAAGACACCCCGCCCTGGCCCCCCCCCCCCCCCCCGGCTCTCCCGAACCCGGCACCCGGCACCCGGCACCCGGCACCCATCAAGGCGGACAAGGCGATCGGGTGTGCCGTCGGCGCACGATCGCAGATGCCAACGAAGGGGGTGTCTATTTTGCTACTGCGCCGCCGCGCCCGGGGGCTTGCCCACCGGGAGGGGCCCCTCCAGGGCCGGCCCGAGGGCGCTGATCCCGCACACCACGACGCACATGGCGCTGGCGATGATGAAGTGGCTGATGCCGAGGCCGATCTCCAGCCAGGACCCCTCGTCGCGCACGAGGAAGAAGAAGTTCAGCGTCAGGCCGCCGCTCAGGACCAGGGCCGCCACGGCCAGCGAGCTAGGCGGGAGCCGGCACTTGCGCGAGATGGCCGCCAGGCCCAGGGCCAGGACCGAGTAGGGCAGCAGCAGCTTCAGCAGCAGCAGCGCCGTCATGGCGAAGGGCCGGAAGGTGGCCATCAGCCGGAAGACCGAGGACAGTCGGAAGGAGGCCAATGAGGCCACGTTCCCGGTGCCAAAGAACCCCAGATGGATGAGAATCAGCTGCACGGGGGGGGGGG